AGATGAGCTTGGTGGTGAGTCAGAAGTAACAATTTTGGTTACTTTTGCCTAACTATTATCACATACATAATGATAAATTAATTTCAGGTTTTAGCTTTGTAACTTGTTAGATGACATGTTTTTTCAATTTTTACCAAAAAAATATATATAAATAAAACTAGTTTTCGATCGACCATCAATTAAAACTTGGACAAAGAACATATATTTTTGCAGCCAAATCAATTGATAGTTGCAAAAGATCATTTCGAATTCCCTTATTAATACTTATAATATCCCTTAGTTGTATGATTAAATTACCATCATTTCGAAATCATTCAACTTGAATGATAAAGCAAAAATAATATGGAATTTGCCCTTTCATTTCTTTATGTGTTGATTTCATATGGTTATTAATAAACAGCTTAATTGAAATGATTCTTCTAATACCTATTCATTACTTTCTCGATTCCTAAATTCTCCAATTCATGGTAAATAAAGGGCCCCTAAATTATGTGAAAAATGCTATATGAGCCGGTGATGTAGGGTGATGTTAGGGTTAAAATAGGTCAAATGTTAAATTATTTACAATATAATGAACAAGTTTACTACCAAATCATCTCTGTTACCAAATAATTGTAAAATTTGTATGAGCATAATTCAGTTAATTACAAGTAAACAAAAGATTCTTGGAAATTTTATAAGCAATGATCCAAAAAGAAAAAGACAAAAGCAACGGAATCAAAAGGGTTCAAGGAAAGAAAGTGGTAATTCATACAATAAAAATAAAATGATATGATTAAAAGTGATTAAGGGCTTGTTTGGAAATGATTTTAGATAGGCCAATAATCACTTATGTGGATAATTACTTATTTATATAATCACTTTAAGGGCATGTTTATGTATCAGTAATGAGTATGAGAGGAAAATGGAATGATTTCCATTACTGACTTCTCCTGCGTTTACTTGCAATCAGGAATGAAAAAATAAGTGGGCCCCACCTCAAAATCCGTAATCACATTCCCTCAGAACTAGGTATCAGATCAACTAGGGGGAGTAGTCGATCCGATTCTCATTCCTGTTTTCCCTTAATAACTTCTAAAAATACCCTTACCACTTTACCATAATTCTAAAATTAATTTGGATTTTGATTCATGCAAATTAGTAAACAATAACAATGAGAATCAATCTAATTCATTTGCTAATTCCATATGTTTAGTAAACAGCTTTATGTGAATGATTCTTCCCATACTGATTCAGTAGTTCTCTGATTTCTTATTTTCTTCATTATTAATACGTAAACATGCCCTAAGTGATTTTAAGTGGTTCGGTGGATAATAACATAGAATTGAATTTTTTAAACATGTGAAATTTAAAAATAGAATTGAATAAAACAATTTAAAAAAAAATTATTACTAATATTAGATAAAACAAAACAAAATTATTACTAATATTAGATAAAAATTGAATTAATTAAAAAAAGTGGTAAGACAAAAAGTTACAAGTGGTGTGTTCTACATGATCGAGCTGGACCTCTTAATTTCCAAAATGAAATAAATATATAATTAAAAAAAGACCTGACCCCTGGGGCCATCCAAAATGTTAATCAAATGATAGGACAGGAATAGGATAGACGAGTAGGACATGCGCAACGCGGTGCGTGTCTCTCTGCTTTTGTCATACAGTCCGTCACACAGTCCAATTTTGGACACTTTGGCAAAGCCCAAATAGTTAGTTTAGTTTTGAGTCATTTCGCTGTCGAAAAATGGGCGGTCCAAATTATTTGGGCTGATGGCTTCTAGGTGTTGACTGCAGCCTAGGTGGCCGGTGGCCTGGCCTATCAAGTACGACTCTTTTGTACAAATAATATAGAAGTGGAGAATTCAAACACTAGACATTGGGTTGAAAAGATTAAGGAGGATTCAAACTCGGGTGCAGGATGAAAAGTAAATATTCCGTAATTAATTTAACTAAATTCATATCTGCTGCTCTTTACCGCTTAAACATGCATAAAAGTTATTTACATATTAGAATGTTTATAAGCCAATAAACATGCAGAAAAGTTAAAATTTATCACATTTTAAAAACAATATTTTGCATTAATTCAACCTAAACAGCATGAATATTTTGCACTAATTTATGACATGATTTCATAATTTCATTAAACCCACGTGAGAGAGTTGAGATAACTTTTGATTTCTGGGATATTTTTCATAAAAATTTATCAGATTACGGCTTAATCTTATCCCTCATCAGTATTTGACAAAAGGCAAATTATTGATCCTGAACAAAGCACGGGGAGACGAAACGTGGTCGTTTTGTGCATTTGGGGAACAAAACGGCGGCGTTTCGTGGCCTTCATCCGTTCCTTGGAGGATCACTTTCTCCTTTCGGCTGCGTCCTCTCAGTCGTTAAGAACCCACCCTAGTAAAGGTCTCAAACCACGTTCTTCTCCAGTCCCTTCTCTCTCTCTTTATCTCTGGGTCCGTTGACCTAGAAGTTTTATCCGCAGAAGACCAAATCACTGTTTTCAAGTCCCAGATCTGTTAATCTCAGGCCTGAATTCCACAAATCAAAGGTCAGATCTTTAACTTACTCCGAGTTTCTTCTCCAATCGCTTTGCTTTACAAGGTTTTGCCTTGTACCATAGCTAAGTGCTGTTGTTCGTCGCTAATTTATGGTTTTCTTATCGCTTTCGTTTCAGATCTCAGTGGAATCACAAAGTCGCTGTCGTTTTGGTGCTCAATCCGTAAGATCCAGTTCAGGTTCTGAGGTTCTTGACTGCTTGTTAATCCTTTATTGTAAACCTGTTGGGTTTGGTCTAGATCTGGTTGAAGCGTTAAAACGCCGTCGTTTTGGACTGAACCAAGTTGGGGTTTTCTCTTTTGGGAGTTCTTGAACTCTTTAAGCTCTGTTTACAGATCTGGGTTTAATAGTATTTATCGTCCTGTTGCTTGATTTGATATATTGGAAATGTCGATTTTACCGAAAGGGGATTCGATTCAAATCCGAGAAGTGTGGAGTGATAATCTTGATGAAGAGTTTGCTATAATTCGTGAGATTGTTGAGAAGTATAATTATGTTGCTATGGACACCGAGTTCCCCGGCGTGGTTCTTCGCCCGGTGGGGGCCTTCAAGAACATCAATGATTATAACTACCAGACCCTGAAGGACAATGTCGATATGTTGAAATTGATTCAATTGGGTCTCACTTTCTCTGACAAGAATGGTAAACTTCCCGATCTTGATACCCAGAACCAATACATTTGGCAATTCAATTTCCGTGAGTTCAATGTAAGCGAAGACATCTTTGCTAGCGATTCGATTGAGTTGCTGCGGCAATGTGGGATTGATTTTAAGAAGAACAATGAGAAGGGAATTGATGTGAAGCGGTTTGGTGAGCTCTTGGTGTCTTCAGGGGTTGTTTTGAATGCTGAAGTGCATTGGGTTACTTTTCATAGTGGATATGACTTTGGATACTTGCTTAAGCTATTGACTGGTGTGAGTTTGCCCGACTCCCAAGCGGGTTTCTTTGAATTGATCAAGGCCTTCTTCCCAGTGGTGTATGATATCAAGCATTTGATGAAGTTCTGCAATAGCCTTCATGGTGGGTTGAACAAGCTTGCAGAATTGTTGGAAGTGGAAAGAGTTGGTGTGTGCCATCAAGCAGGCTCAGACAGTTTGCTTACAGCTTGTACGTTTAGGAAATTAAGGGATACCTTTTTCGGTGGCACAGCTGAGAAATATGCTGGTGTATTGTATGGTCTCGGTGTTGAGAATGGACAGAGTACTAATTGAAAGAAAATAATTGTCAAAAGATTGATGGATATTTGTAGACTATTTGAGTGTGAGACATGGTAGTTTTCTCTGTACACTTTCGCAAAAGAATTGTTGTTTTAGTTTTAACTTTTTCCTCTTTGCTTGCTTGTAACAGAAACCTTAACCGGTTATGTAGCTCCGAGTTTCTTGTATATTATTGCAGTTAGTGTTTCAATAAAAGTTCATGACGTTTTCTTTCAATGCGTTTTGTTCCTCACTAATTTGACTTTAGTGTTCTATTGCTCCATTCTCATCAGCATCATCATTTGCTTCGTTCTTGGCAGCCGCAGATCGATGCATTCTTGTTCTATCTCTATCATTTTTGAACTTTATAGAAGTTAACAGTTATTTGATTGCTTATTGGATACCATATATAGATGTGCTACTTATTCTTTGATCAATCATCAGCGGTTTTGTATTTAGCTATTTATGTATCTTTTGGGTGCAGAGGTGTTCACATATGGCTGCTGGACTTAGTTTACAGCCACAGGTAGTCTGTTTGTGAATCTGAATGAGAGATGCCTTGGAAAAGAAAGAGAGTCCTTGTCTTAGTGATGTTTATCTTACGCACAATAATACTGTAGCTGGAGATTTTTCCTTTCATCTGCTCAAGATTGCTTTTATCATGTCATTTCCTTTAATGAATGGAACTTTGTTCAGTGTTAGTGTCTTATGCTACTTGTAACTTTGTAATTCCATTTGTCACAAACCTATTTCCATGATTTTGTTGAAGGAATCACCAATTTTATGAAGTTTGGACAGAGTAGTGACAGTGGGCGGGAATGGGGGAAAGCTTGCAGAAGCAGCAGCTACACTATCACTCTTCTATAGGAATCAGCTGTAAGACTGTTCTGTTATTGTCATCGTCAATTGGGGAGCATACAGTATGACAATGCAGTTCGTCATCATTCTTAAACAAGAATCCCAAGTGTAAAAAAAGAGTGACCGCATAAAATTTTATTTTTCAGATGTTCTAGTTATCTGAGTTTGCATAGTGTTCTAGATTATATGAGTCGTCTGTAACATTCTGGCTCTCAAGCTTTTGGAATCAGCAGAACTCAATCCTTGAGTTGCACTGTAGAATTTGATCCGATATTATTATGTCTTGTTTTATTTTTATTTTCTGGTCTGCAGGCTGCAGTTGTATCTATCTTTCTGTGTTGCATAAACAAATCAAGACTGCTTCCGCCGATTGCATAAACATAAAACAAAAACAAAAAAAGCACTTTTAGTTTAGTAACCATGAGGAAGCGTCTCCCTTGCTGATTGGCTAGCTTCCACCGTAACATCCTGCGAAAATCTCTGGATATTTTGGCATTTCCGAGGTTTTTTTTTTATTTTTCCTTTTTACCCCGACGAAGCATCTGCGACCCAAAAGCAATTTAGTGTTACAATGTCCGTACCCTTCTTTCCATTGTCAAACTATATTCTTTCATGGATTAATTTAGTATTACAAATTCCTTTCTTATTTAAATAAGAACGAAACAACAACCATAAATACGTAAAAACAAATTTTTATAAAGAAATAGAAAACACCTGGCACACTATTACGTTTCGGATCCAAAAAGAGAAAAAAAGAAAAAAATTTGTTCCTTGAAATTGAATCAAAAAAGAACGTGGCAAACCACTTTATGAAAAGCTCACGCACGTCGAGCTCTCTCGGTCTTCTGTTCCTCCCGACCGAGTCACCCCATTTTCCTCTCTCTTTACTCTTTTCACCCAACAGAAAGGAAGGACACAGCTCATCGACGGCGAGCCTCACATCCGCTTTCTCCGACCACCACGAGGTGATTTTATCATCTCCCTCCTCCGCCCTCTCTCTATCCCTTTTTAATCTCTGAATTCATATTACGAATAGAACCAGTGATTCGGATCCAAACCCACACACAAAATAGATCCGATCGGATCCGGATCTCGCACCCCTCATGCCTCGCAAACCCAATATCCTAGGGTTTCTCTTCAGCCTCTTCTTCCTCACATTCTGCAATGCCGATCCGGGTTCCAATTGCCCCAAGACCAGCCCTCTCGTCAACTCCGAGTCCGAATTCAAAATGGTACAGCACCAGCTCCGAGGCTCAATTAAGATAATCGACGATTGCTCCTTCAAAGTCTCCGATTTCGACATGCTCCCCGGCTCCGACGTCCACTGGTGGGGCGCCGCCGCTCCCGATTTCACCAACCTCAGCGCCGGCTTCGTAGTCTCCGATCAGAAACTCAACGAGACCTACAAAAGCGCGAGCTTTACTGTACGTTTGAGGGACAATGTCACCTGGGATCGGATCCAGGTCCTCGCCGTGTGGGACCGCCCCACCGCCTCCGACTTCGGACACGTGATTCTCGGCGATTTCAGAAGCGGGTCGTCCGACCCGGCTCCTTCACCGTCGCCGTCGAGCGCAACCGGTTCGGGGAACGGGACGGGTCGGGTCCACACCGAGCCGACTATGTTGGAGAACTGTAAGGTATTGTCGAAGAACTATAGGGTTAGATGGACATTGAATTCTGATGAGAATATAATTGATATTGGGTTGGAGGCCGCCACCGGGACTATGAATTACATGGCTTTCGGGTGGTCCAGCCCGAACTCGACTTCGGAGCTCATGCTCGGAGCCGATGTCGCCGTCACCGGGTTTAAAGAGGACGGCCTGCCGTTTGTGAATGATTTTTACATCACAAAGTACAGCGAGTGTACTTTGTACAAGGATGGTGAGGTGAAAGGGGTTTGCCCGGATACGAGATACGAAGGGCCCGGCCAGAATAGCGAGGTTAACAATACCAAATTGGTTTATGGGCAGAGGAGGGACGCCGTGTCGTTCATTAGGTACCAGAGGCCGTTGATATCAGACGACAAGAAGTACGATTTGCCGGTGAACCATACAGAGAAAATGACGGTGATTTGGGCGTTGGGGCCAATAAGGCCTCCGGATCTTCTTCAGCCTCACTATCTTCCTCAAAACCATGGGGGGCCAAGGCTTGTGGTTTTTGGACATTTGGTGCTGAATGTTTCTGAGCATGTGAATGACTGTTTGGGTCCTCTGGATGCAGAAGACAAGGAGGACCAACAACTCATCATCGCCGATGCCAATGCCCCACTTGTGGTTACTTCTGGCCCGGCATTGCATTATCCAAACCCTCCAAACCCTTCAAAGGTTTTGTACATTAACAAGAAAGAGGCTCCGATGTTGAGAGTGGAACGAGGGGTGCCTGTCAAGTTTTCTATACAAGCAGGGCACAATGTTGCGCTCTACATTACTTCAGACCCGCTTGGTGGGAATGCTACCCTGAGGAATGTGACCGAGACTATTTATGCAGGAGGGCCTAAAGCTCAAGGAGTTCAAGCCAGTCCCATGGAATTGGTTTGGCAACCAGATAGGAATACTCCAGACCAAGTGTATTATCAATCTCTTTATGAGCAGAAAATGGGTTATAGAGTGCAGGTGGTTGATGGGGGTCTGCCTGATATGTATAATAACAGTGTTATTTTGGATGATCAGCAAGTTACGTTATTTTGGACATTGTCAGAAAAGTCAATATCTATTGCAGTTCGTGGGATTTGGCAGGGGAATGGTAAACAGCTATGCTTATGTGGGTTGGATTGATAACATTGGCAAAGGGCGGGTAAACACTTATTGGATTGATGGAAAGGATGCCTCAAGTGTGCATCCAACATTTGAGAATTTGACTTATGTGAGGTGCAGGTCGGAAAATGGCATCATTACATTCGAGTTCACCCGCCCCTTGAATCCATCATGTGGTAAGAGTGATAGACCGGAGTGTAGAAACATAATTGATCGCACTACTCCTCTTAAAGTTATTTGGGCAATGGGTTCTACATGGACAGATGAGCATCTAAGTGAACAAAATATGCATTTTGTTACGAGCAGTAGGCCTATTAGGGTACTTCTTATGCGTGGTTCTGCAGAGGCGGAGCAGGATTTACAGCCGGTATTAGCTGTACATGGATTTATGATGTTTCTCGCTTGGGGTATGTTGCTTCCTGGTGGAATACTGGCGGCTAGATACTTAAAACATGTTAAGGGTGATGGGTGGTACAAGATTCATGTTTATTTGCAGTACTCAGGTTTGGTAATCATCCTACTTGCCCTTCTTTTTGCTGTTGCTGAACTTCGAGGTTTCTATGTCAGCTCATTGCATGTTAAGTTTGGGATTACTGCGATATTTTTGGCTTGTATACAACCAGTGAATGCATTCCTAAGGCCTAAGAGACCAGCTCATGGAGAGGAGGTTTCCTCTAAAAGGATTCTTTGGGAGTACTTTCATGTGATCGGTGGAAGGTGTGCCTTTGTTGTAGGCATTGCAGCACTGTTCAGTGGAATGAAGCATTTAGGAGATAGATATGACGGCGAAAATGTTCATGGACTTAATTGGGCTTTAATAATTTGGTTCTTGATTGGTGCATTGATAGTTATGTATCTGGAATACCGTGAAAAACAACAAAGGAGGGATAGAAGTTTTGGAAGAAGCAATTGGGTGCTGGGGAACCTGGAGGAAGATGACTCTGTTGATCTGTTGAGCCCGAACGGAGTGCATGCAGAGAAAGAATCACAAACTTCAGGAAGAATGGAAGTTCAATTAGAGCCTCTGAATCTGAACAGATAGATAGGTAGATAGATAGTTATTCTTTGATATGAATTTCTACATTTCACCAATTTTGAGAGTTTTCTCACATATATGGGGAATAGAAGGCCTGTTTTGCGTGCTTAGTTGCTTCAACGGCCTTTTTGCTTTGTGAGGGAGGTTTACTCGGCGATCACCACCCTCGGCTCCAACCATTCATCTTGAAGACTATTCACCCCATGCCATGCACTTTGTATACTTGATACATCTTTTTACACAGTATTATCATTTTATCTGTTGCCTTTTTATCAAACAACCGAAGAGTCGGGTTACGGCGTAGCACAGTACCCTAGGACTTGTAGTTTAGAATTCAGATATGTGAAAGTAATTCTCATGCCTTCGGAAGAAGAGTTTCTAATGGAAAAATGGAAGTGATTTGCACTCACCATACTTGCAATCTGCATCAGATGTTTACTGTTTCTCTTTGGCTATGTTTTTGGTTTTTTGTCTTGCTTTTGAGTCTATCATGGACAAGCAAAAAAGCCCTCCTGGCTGGTTAGATGTTGCATTTGATGAATGCGAAGTTGTGTGTTTTTGAGGCTCATAAAAAATAACAAAGCCAATAGAAAATTCTTCTTTTACGCCTTGATGTTTGTTCAATTATTATTATATTTTGATTTGCTGAACTTAGATTCTGCTACAAAAGAGAGGAGTTGTTTATTTCAAATCAATATATAATTAGTTTTTCTTAACAGAGTTTAAAGTAATGGAGAAAACAACTAAAACTTAACTTTTACGATGTATAAATAGTATTTTCAAGTAATTGTGTTCACAATTGCGGGGATAGCTCAGTTGGGAGAGCGTCAGACTGAAGATCTGAAGGTCGCGTGTTCGATCCACGCTCACCGCAATTTTTTATTTTTCATTTTGCAGTTTTCCACTTATTCTGACATGGGCTTTTTTATCCTACTCTGGCCCGATATTTTTGTATGGGCTTTGTAAGTTAATAGTTTGGGATTTTTTTAATTACAAGTACATGTATTTTTGTTTCGTTTGGAAATTAATTTTTCGCTGTGCATGCAGTTGGAAATTACCAAAAAAATATGAGCATTTACATGTTTTGTTTTGAAGCACAACTTCAAAAGTCAACTTGACTTCAAACCTCATTTGGGTGCTTTCTCTTCTCAGTATTTATTTTGGGGAGAGGTTTTTTTTTAAAAAAAAAATTTTCCTTTAGAACAAAAACAAACCAGTTTGAGTTTGTTGCAAATGCGATATTTCGGTTGGTCACTGCCGAAACGTAAATAAATGTCAGATTCTTTTATCGCTGGCCGTTTCATATATTCCAGATTAGGATTCAAACAATATTAAGAAAGTTCATAACGTTCGCATCTGATGTGTGTGTGTGTGCATGCACTGCCTGAAGTCCACTTGTCAAAACGCACAAGAACAAAAAAAGGAATCCATACGAATTGGTGAGCTTGCCTTCTTTCTTTCTTTCTTTCTTTCCTTCCATTCCATGCCAGCCTTAACACACACACACCCCCCTCAACCATGACGCACAATTTTATATGAAATAAGTTTTCATTTTTCTTTTTTAAAAGCTCACAGTTTTAGGGTATTTGTAAAGTGCTCCTGAATGTTAAAAGTAATTTATATTTGTCCCTAGGGCATGTTCATGTTTTTTACTTTGGGTAGTGAGGAAAATGCCCATCTCCATCTCCATCTTCTTCACTACAATGTTCAATTGCTCACCAATCACACTTGTGCATATATCTTTGAGAGTTGTTGAAAATGATGCTTTGCATCCACAATTTGTATTTAAACTTGCAAATTAAGCAACAAGCTTTTGTAATTGATGACAAAAAATTTATGTCTTTAATGCGTTGTGTCAGTGATAACAGTGAGATACGTCTTAAATGAAACATGATATATTATAATTTTAACTATTTTTGCACGTGAGGTAAGTAACAACACGTGTGTTTTGAAAGTGTAACGTATTGTGCAATCGTTGTTCTGGATAATATCTTTTTAACTAGCCGTTAAAAAGAAGACAAAAATAAACAATGTTGTATAATAAATAAGTATGCAACGTTGTATTATGAATAGCCGATCATTATAGTATGAAATTATTTTTACATTCAATGATCGACATTTCACAAATTATGTACTAACTACAATAAAAATTCATATCTTAACGAGATGCTCTCTTTTTAAATTAAGAACTTCAACTGTAAGGGTCATAAGATAAGATAAAAACCTAAGCTATATCTTTCAAGAAAAAAAACCTAGGTATATTTATAAAATCCTTTCCACAAAATTATGCAATTATTACAAGATGCATCCAGAGTTCTTGAAGATGCATGTACCAAGACCACAAAGGCATAATCATCCGTACCCTTGTACTTTTACCAAATTACACTTTAACCCCCAAAACCAAGGTAAATGTCCAACACCTACCTTGTAAAAAGACCATGCTATTATAATTATATAACATAAAAAGACCTTAAGGTCCCTGATCAACCTTAATATTCCCATGCAAACCACGATTAAAGCTTTATAAAGCCCTCAGGCAAACAGTGTTTTCACGCTAAAAATGCTCTAGTGTCGGGGGTAAGAATATCAGAGCCCTCTTTCTCTCTCCCTCTCTACATCGCCTTTCTTATTTCTTTTTTCATTTTATTTTAATTTTTGTTAATTTCTCTAACCCGCTCCAAACTCGGGCGTTTGGGTTCAGGGGGCTTCAGGCACACTTTCGAAATACTTGGTCCCCCAGATCCGTTGAGCTTCGGTAACTCCTTCTCTTTCCTTAACATTGTGGCTTGGCTTACATATTTTTATCAAACTCACATCACTTCACTAAGTCCTAACAAAAAAATGGTGGGTCAATTCTGAATTTTGTGTCCAAGAAACCCTTCAAATGGTGTTTGTGAATTTCAGTCATGTAGGGTTGTTTTGCTGTTTTGCCAAACGGGTATTGTGTTTTTTTTTTTCACTGTATTTTTATATAACACACTTAACTCCACTAAGCCCTCCTAGCCAAGTAATGGAGGGGAATTCAAAATTTTCTGTCTAGGAAACCCTTCAAATGGTTTGTGAATTTCGGTCCTGTAGGGTTGTTTTGCCGTTTTGACAAACGGGTATTGTGTTTTTTTCACTGTATTCTTATCTAACACACATAACTCCCCAAAGCCCTCCTAGCCAAGAAATGGAGGGGAATTCAAAATTTTCTGTCTAGGAAACCCTTCAAATGGTTTGTGAATTTCGGTCCTGTATGTAGTGTTGTTTTGCTGTTTTGACAAACGGGTGATGTGTTTTTTTCACTGTATTTTTATCTAACACATATCACTCCACTAAGTCCTCCTAGCCAAGAAATGGTGGGGGAATTCAAAATTTCTGTCTAGGAAACCCTGGTTTGTGAATTTCGGTGTTGTAGTGTTGTTTTTCTGTTTTGACAAGCGGGGTTGTACTTTTTCAGTATATATTTTTCTAACTCACGTCATTCCATCAAGTCCCAACCAATAAATGGTGGGGAATTCTAAATTTTATGTCCAATAAACCATTGAATGGTTTGTGAATTTCACTCTCGTAGGGTTGTTTTGCTGTTTTTGACAAACAGTTGTTTTGTTTTTTCATTATATTGCTTTCTCGATGGGAATTCTCATGTGGGTCATTTTGATACTGGCCTTTGAGTACCACTTTTTATGCTGTGCTGTTGTTTGGTGTGTTCAATGTGGGGTTGGTCACTTGAAGTTTAAGCTGTTAAGTTTATTTATTGCATGGGTTTCTTTATTCGAGGGTAAGCAATTTGAGAACTGAGGTGTTGCTAATTGTGTGATTATACGTAATGCAACATGGTTATTTATGTTGGTTCTTATAAGAAAAATGACACAGTTGTTATAAACGAGGAATTTCTATGAGTTTGTTCCCAGCACATATGGATCGCTCGTTCTTGATTAGTTGATTATGATGTTCTATGTATGCGGACGTGCTTGTGCATGCATGTGTAAGTTTGTAGTTGTTTGTATAACTGTACCTGTATGTACTTCTGTACAATGTAGCTATGTATGCACTTATGCATTTACACTTTATTTCTTTCACCATTTATGGCATTGCATTGAATAATCAAATTACTTTTTCCAAGAGAACCTCGCTTTTATTGTAGATAGGTGGGTTGAAGTAATTTCTTTATTGTAGGATTACTAGGATTTTTCTTCCCTTACCGTTTAGGACTTGTATTCAATTTTCTGGTTAATCATTGATCTGTTTAGTTCATCACAATTGATATTTTTCCATTTTGGTTAAAGATAATAGCACCTTGCTAAATACGGTTGATCATTTGGTGGTACTTATATAAATTTTTTCCGATACTTTATACTGTCACATAAATTGAGTTTAGGGTTTAGGGTTTACAATAATATCACCTGCTTCTGATTCAATATATCTCCCAACTCCCTGCTTGCAGAATATGAGTAGCTTGGTTGAGAGGCTTCGCGTTAGGTCAGACCGAAGGCCAGTTTACAACATTGATGAATCAGATGATGAGGCCGATTTTGTAACTAGAAAACCTGGGACAGCTGAGGAAAAGTTTGAAAAGATTGTTAGGAGCGATGCGGTTTGTTTTCTACTTTTTATTATTATTTATTCTCTTGTATTTTTTAACCTTTAGTGTGATGGAAGTTATATTTAGTTTCGATATTTGAAAGAAAATATTACTTTCTAATATGTTTTATATTTTCTATTCAAAATTTCAAGTAATTATTGTTATTTTGTCCTTTTGTGGGTGATTGTTATCACTCTTTCAAAACTGCTGTGTTTTCATGTTTCCTTTCTATGTAGAAAATTTATGACAAGGACTTTGCTTATATTTTTCTCTTTTGGGGGTCAATAGAAAGAGAATTCATGTCAAGCCTGTGGCGAAACTGGGAATCTTTTGTGCTGTGAAACATGCAGTTATGCTTACCATTCTAAGTGTTTACTTCCGCCACCGAGATCTCCTCTCCCTGGCAACTGGAGATGCCCTGAATGTGTATGGTTTCTTTTCTAAATTCAGTTTTGTTTCAATTAAACTGATTACAGATCATGTGCTTTTGGTGATAGCTGAGAATTAAATAAATTTTCTTTGTTTGCAGGTAAGCCCATTAAATGATATTGATAAGATCTTGGACTGTGAAATGCGCCCTACTGTAGCTGGTGATAGTGATGCCTCAAAGCTGGGCTCGAAGCAAATTTTTGTAAAACAATATCTTGTGAAGTGGAAGGGACTCTCTTATTTGCATTGCACATGGTAATGTCTTGGTTAATGGTTTCAGCTTTTATTGTTTATTTAATTTGGTCAATGTTTGTTTGAACTCTTATCTAGAATAACAGATTACAATAAAGTTCTTTGACTCTGGAAACCTGCCCTAATACTTTATTTGGGAAATTGTATTTCCTCTTTTGGTAGCT